TTATATATTCAATAAAAATGAAAGTTTTATAAAAAAATTTTTTTTGCACACAGTTGAAAATTATTCATGTACCGCTGTGCGATAACTGCGTACTACTTAACATAATTTTTGCACATGATCTCACTATATAGTGTGCATTTTCTGCACGCATATATAGGTTTAAAAATCATACACTGCTGACCCTGCACTCTCCTGAATCAATTCTAATCTAGACTAAAACTATTATTTTCAAGAATATAAAATGAAAAAAGCAGAAGAAGGCTTGGTCACTACTATACTAAAAATTCGTCCAATAGGATCTGAGTTGTATCATGGTAGAAATTAGACTAGGGTTATTGTTGTTGTTGAAAACAACATGTAGGAGATCAAAATCAGAAGAAACAAAGTTCTTATTTTTCTGATCTATATTAATGTTTGCAGATTTTTCACAGTCTAATTGGATGATGCATCTTTCCGTCTAAAACCTCTGAGTCTCTTCAAAAATAAAATGTATGAAAGAGAAACATGCAGCTAAGGTTATGGACATGTGAGAAATTGCGTGGTGGATAAAGTCGAAAAGGCTATAAATAATAATGTCTTTAATAAGAACAAAAAAAGAAGTAGAGTCTAATAGGCTTCACCAATTAAGTCTTTCTATATCGCTAATTTGTGCATTGATAATGAATTTAAGATAGTCTTTTATACGTTGGATAAGCAATTTCATTTTATAGTCAACTATGGAATATAGCTAAATATGGTAAAAATTTTTATCTGCAGCATCACATATAGGACATAATATAGAGAATGTAAATAAAGTTAGTATCTGATCTTTAGAATCTTAACGGTAGGTAGCATTTCAAGTAGACGTTAGAATTTCTTTTTCCTTATTGTAGAAGCTATATATGTTATATAGTTAGTAGTGACATTATCATTAAAACAAAATGATATTATGAACCAATTAGGTTAAAAAATGCAATGATATTTAGAGATAACATGGAGAGTAATGAATTGTTATAAGTGTTCAAATCAGTAATATTCTTTAATAAATTATCTTATTAGAATGAGAATGGAATGGCTGTTAAATGTAAAGAAATATTTGAAAGCAGCAGACGTGTTGAAATACATAATAGGAGATGCAAGAGCTGTTTTCACCAATACGTCTACTTTATTGTTAAAATAGTTGTTAGAGTGCGCTTTAACCTTAATAAGAGAAATGTTGAGGTTATTAGTTGTGATAAGTTTGAAAAGACAAGACCAATGCACAAAGTTATTAATTTTCAGAAATGGTCTAAAAGTTGAAGATTAGCGCAAAAGGAATTTGTATTTGTTGAATTGGAAAATTATAATTGCTAAGTCAGTATAAATTTTGATTATGCAATTACGAGAGGTAGTTAAAAGAGCAGTAAAAAGAGTTACAAATTCTGGTAAAAAAGAAGATGGAAAACTGGTAGTGAGAGACATGCTAAAAAAGACCATTGGTGAATTTGGATGCATTTGTAGCTAAGCAAACCCCATTTTTATTGAAGGGAGACCAATGTTTTATAAAGAACTGTCAGTATAAAATTCTAATTCAGTAGACTGAAGAAAATGTCAAAAAAGTGTTAATAAATCAGTTATATAAGAGGAAGAAATAAATCTGTTTATGAGAGTATTATATAATGGAGGAGTGGCGGGGTGAGGTATTTGTAGAAATTGTGATTGCAACAAGGAAATAGCATATGTAAGAACAAGTTTATTAAGTGTACTAACTGATAAGGTTGTAGACCTGTAATCAGAGTAAAAATTATATGAAAAAGCTGTACAGGATACATGAAGAATAATAAAATAACAATTAAATTTATCATTATCAGTAGCAGTTTGTTGGTATAAAGGACATTGAGAATAAAAGATCAATTTAGTAGTATGATCAGGACCTCTTTCATAAACATGGTGTTTTATATACAAATTGTGTTGATCAGCTTGAGTTATTCTTTTAAGGACAAAGTTGTTGATAGTATTATTCTAATCTATGGCATATGATCTATGTCCAGATGCAAGATTTTGTTAGCGTAGATTGTATCTATAGAAGTGATTATGAAAATAAGATCCTAGAATAAATCTATCTAAGAAAGGTTGTAAAAGTTGTTCTATGATAGGAAACCACTTTGAAATTTTAGCAAATCTTGTATTATAATGAGAAATTTGGAAGAGGTCTTTGTAAGTAAACATATAGGTACCACTATAATTAACTAATTACTTAACATAAAGGACTAAGCAATTTCTAAGGTCGTTAGCATGAGTTCTGTAATTGTATTTGATGAGATCGAGAATTGGCGTATTTCCTCCTATAATCAAACAAGCTTTGTGAGTAGGAATATTAATATTAATATTAAGTTTGTTCAGTGCATTGAGCAGAGATAGAAGTCAATTATCAATTGAGAGCTAGGTACTGTATGATCACGAAATTAAAGGACTATTGTAGAGCCATTTTTTATTTTGTAGATGATGTGTATGAATGTTAAAAGTAATTTCTAATAGATTGGTTTCATTCATCATTTGTAAAAAAACATTACTAAAGTTTTGAATAAGTTGTTGATATAGTAGAGTGGTATTATAAAAATAGTGTGACAGAAATAAAGATGAAGGTATTTTTCTAGAGAAGTGTAATTTCTTGCGAATAAAAGCTATATAAGTAGTGACGATTCTAAAGTATTGGTGTTCTGTAGATAATGTAAATTGTGCTCTATATTCTATACGTGAGAGAAAGATAATGTTATAAATGTAAGTTAATTGAGTGTCTATTAGATTTTCTTTTACATGATTGTAACTGCTGATTTGATCTCTTCATGAATCTGATTTATAATAAAGGTTTTGTTATTCTTGAATAAGATCTAGATGCCAAGATATCTGACATTCTCTTTTGGTTTATATGCAGTAAGTTGATAGGTGACATTATTGGTATTAATCACAAAATGATCACTTTAAGTTTTATTAACTAAGAGCTCTGATTTGAGCTAATTAATCTGTATATCATTAAAGGTATAGAAGCTATTGACGATGTTGATAATAAAAGAGAGGTCATCTGCTGATTTAGCAATCTAAAGAGTATTATTCATAAAAGCTAGAGCAGGAATTCTTTTATTTAGAGCAGTTTTGAAAAATAAATGTACGTTGAGTTGCTATTTACATTGCATTGTATATTCAAATATTGAGTTCTAGACTTTACATAATAGAGGATTATAATAGATATACCACAAGAGAAGTGAAATAACTTCTTCTTAGTTGATGCTAGAGAATATTAAGTATTGGTCTGTATTACCATATGATGTAAAAATCTGGTTAAATCTTAGAAGAAAAATCCTCATAATAATGCAAATAAAGGTAAATGATATTTTAAACCTTTTCGTTGCCTTAACCAAGATGAAAATATTGACTTTATCATATGCTTTAGACATGTCCTGAAGGAGAATCTAAAGTTCAGATTTGTTGGAGATGGCATTCTATGTTAAAAATAAAATTTTTTTTTTTTTAAATGTGGTAGTTTCGCATGATCTTTATTAAATTCAAAGTATATATAATAGAGTTAAACTATACAAATTTAAGAAAATACAAAAATCTCTATTTAAACTAAATCAAATTAAGACTGATCCTGCATTTTTTCAGAATCTATTCCTAACCTAAGCTAAAAATATCATATTCTGGTAGTTAAAATAAAAAAATTTTTTTTTTTTAAGTGCAGTAATTTTGCATGATCTTTATTAAATTCAAAGTATATGTAACAGAGTCAAAATATACAAATTTAAAAAAATATGAAAATCTCTATCTAAAATAAATCAAATCAAGACTAATCCTGCATTTTCCTAGAATCTATTCCTAAACTAAGCTAAAAATATCATTTTCAGTAACTAACTGAATGAGAAAGGGCTTAGCTACTACAGCACCAAAAATTCAACCAGTGGGATTCATATTGTACCATCTTGTTAATAGAGTCATTAATGGTTAGGGGAAGGGTAGAGCTTGTGATATTGTATCCTGTTGCGACAGTATTATTCTTTTTGATTTTTAGATTGATATTGTGTGATTATTCGAAAACTGCTTATTGTGAATATCGGTTAACCCATATGGCTTGTGTTTATTCAAAGATATAATGCATAAATGCTGAAAGCATTGTAAAGATAAGGTCCTTTGATCTCATAGTATTATAGACAAAATTGTACAGTGTTTGAGGAATTAATCCTTTAATGAGAGTGGGTAGATAGGAGAAGCTTTTTGTGAATATATGCCAAATTGGTAAGTTGGATAAGTCTGTGGCAGATCCATTGTTCTGGATTAATTCTTGTAAAAATAACTGTGAGTCATAGATGATATTTTTCATCTATGTCCAATTAACCAGATATTCTCATATGTGAGAGAAGGTTTCATTAGCATATTCACATTTGAATATAGCTATGATGAATTGAAAATGTCAGGGTGTTTCTTTTTTAATACCTCTATGGTAAAGAGCATCTCTATAAGTCTTTAGAATTTTTTTCTTTCAAACTGCTGAGATTTAGTAAAATGTAAGTGCTGTTGCAATATTATCGTTAATGTAAAATGAGGTAGCTATTCAGTTTATATTCAAATGCTGGTACTTTTCTATCATGTGTAGGTGTTGTATTTTATCATAAACTATAGATTGTATGATGTTTTTCATGAAGAGATGTATGGGAATTGAAATCTTCAAATTATCATATCTGTAGTGATAATGTTCAATAAACAAGAAGTCAAACCTAAATGCTGTTATACTATGCAAGTTCTTTGCAAGTTGATTAACTTTATTATTAAGTACATCGTCTGAATGTACTTTAACTTTACGAAGGCGTATGTTAAGGTATTATGATTTGATAACCTCAAATAAATACAACCAAAGTGAAAAATTATTGATCTTGAACAGGGGTCTAGTGGATGGAGAAAGACACAATATTCTTTTAAAATTGTGGAATTGTCTAATCACAACTTGTGAATCTGTCATAATGGTGATATAACAATTGTTTGGGATAACAATGATAGCAGTAAATATAGCTGCTAGTTCCGCAAATGAAGATGAAGAAAATGTGATAACTATTGCTGATGAAAAGAAAGCCATAGGTAAATATGGATTCGTTTGGAGTTAAACCATACCTATTCTCATAGTAGGAGTGCCTAGACTAGAAAGAGAACTGTCTGTATAGGATTCTAAGTGTGAAGCAGCAGAAAACTGTTATGAGAGAGTTTCTTGACTATGTAGCAATATAACGAATTTTGATATTAAAGTAGAAGGTGTAGGACAGTGAAAATTAATTGTGGATAAATGAGAAAAACTATTATATGAACAGTTAAACATATAGGATGTGATATCCTCCATAAGTATTAAAAATTTGCGTTGACATGTTACTTCTTTGTGTCCCTTAGCATAATTTTCACACAGAGACTGAGAGATGTAATCATTATACATTTATATTTTTTGAGATCAGGAGAGTTACTTTTAAATAGTGTTGGCCTGTTAAGTAAATACCCATCACATTAATACAAAGATACCTCTGTAGAGAAAGTATACATAGTGGACAACTTCTGCAAAACTGCTTGCTATCTTCAAAACATGACTTACTATTATTGTATTTATAATGGATCCTAATATATAACAAATGAGTGGACCATTATTTCATTTTGCGAGAAAATCATCAGAAATCCATAAGTGACATTATGTCAGTATGTTATAGTTGCCGGCAAAGAGTTGAAATTGTTAACGTTGAGTGCACTTTTAGCCTTGAAGTACTATTTCAGGGATGGTTCTTTTCTAGGGCTGAAGAAAATATCTCAGATCTTTGGCAGTATACAATGACCTTCTATCTCTGCTAACTAGTTGTTTCACAAACATTAAGGAGTATTTAGATAAGGAGGAAATTGTTTTTCTGAAGTCCTGTAAAATAATTGACCTTATAGTAATAGATCCATTTTGTATTCTATAAGTAAATTATTCAACTTAATATTAAAAAATTTGAGGTTACATAAAAGTGCTGTGATCTAGTTGTTGAAGTATTTTGAATATTTGTAAGGCTATTCAATTAACAGTAAGATAGATAACCATTCTTTAGCTTGCAGTTATAGCATCTGAATACAGGTGAATAAGCCTAATAGACCTGTATTATTCAGAGAAGTCAGTAAGGCATTGCTGAGGGCTTGCATATGTCTATAATAAAGATGTATTACTCTGTAAAAAAGTTTTGAGTGAAGGAAATAAGAGAGCGTATCTCATGATATATGAAGCTTTTTCTTTAGTAGAACTCTGAAGGGTTCTATAATACGATCTGCTAATGGTTCTGATAAGTGGGACAGTTATGTACGATATTCGATATAAGGTATAATGACAACATTGAATGTATATATAAGTTGCTTATCCATTAGTCATTTAGTAGATATGATAGCTACCATAGACTTGACATTCTAGATGGCTTGTTTGATGATAAACATTCTGTTACATTTTAATGAGACCCAGACCTTAAATATCTTACAGAGTTTTTAGAATTGGCAGCAGTAATTGTGTGTGTATAACCATTTACATTTGTTTGGATGATATAGATCTCATTAGTGTTTATTAATAGGTCTGATTTAAACCAGTTTATTTTGATGCTATTTAGGTTATAAAAGCTGTTAGCAATATCGATAATTTGATTAAGTTCTGATTTAGATTCAGCGATCTACAGTGTATTATTCATGTATGCTAATATGGCAGTCTTGTATGATAATTCGTTGAAGGAATTGAAATACATGTTAGATTTCCATTTCGTTGTCATAGTATAGCCAAGGTTAGAATTCTGTATTTTGCATAAGAGGGGATCATAATAAATACATCACGACAGTGATAAAATGATTTCACCTTGATCAATATCAGAGAATACATTATATGTATCTGTAGTCCTGAAAGATATAAAGACTTGATTTTTTCTACTCACAAACATATTTAGAATAAAGTAAATAAATTCCTTGGAAAGCTTTAGATGTTCTAATGCCTTCACCAGCATAATAATATTGACATAATCATAGGCTTTTGATATATCTTACAAAAGGATCCACAAATTTTTTTTATTAGAAAAGACGCTATTTTTTATATTATCAAGGATGTGCAAGGGTTCAAAGGTGGAGAGAAAGAGAAGTTCTGCAAAATTATATCTTTTGAGAATGTTATGTTGAAATAAGACAGTTGAAAGTCGTGTGTTAATGAGTTTGATAAGGCTTTTCTTAGACATTCCAATAATGTAATTAGTTTTGTATTATTGAGGTTGAATTCTCAAGGTTTAGGTTTTGGAATTGGATAAATGTATGTCAGATTCCATCGATGTGAAAGTGATAAGAGTGACAAATAATCACATATTAATAAATAGAACAACTTTTTAGCCAAAGGACCTAAGTGTTTTAGAATTTCATTTGAGATCTTAGATAGGCCAGATACTTTGCCATCAGCAAGGGAATTAACGATCGAGTATTATTCTTCAGCTGAAGGCGGTGACATCAATTTGTTATAGATATTAAAATCAATATTGTTTAATGGGCTGTAAGATTGGAGCCATTCTTCAGGGATATCTTTAAGTTTGTGAATGGTACCTGCTGTTCTTTGGAAATGATCGTTAACTGTTTGTTTAACTGAGCTTTCATCAGTAAGAAGATCTTTAGTATCCTATAATAAACATCTGTCTAGTATGATAGTCTTTCTCAAATGGTTTAATGCAAAGTCTAATATCTTTGCAGGGTTATTAGCGTAAGTATTTAGACGTTGATCCAGATGCTTCTATATAGAGATAAGCTTGTGTTCTTTCTCATGAAGTTTGGCCTTATATAAGAGGACTTTAAGCAAAAGAACCATGTTTGAGAGGAGGAGATCAACAAAATTGATTGGATAATCTGGCTGTGGGTACGCAGTAGTGAACGAGAGAAAGTTAGCAATGTTGTGATATTTATCATATAGTTTTGTTCAATTTATAAGGAACAGTCCGTCTTTTTTAACTTTGAGAAGTAATTTTTTAAATTTTTGTAAGTCTTCTGATGTGAATATAGTTTTGTGAGGCCCAGTAGTTGTGAGTATTTGAATTGTCCTGACGATTTTCTGATTGGTATATATTTATCAGCCGCTTTAATTAGCAGGTCTTGAAAGAGGTCCTGGTATTTATTGAGCAAGATTTGCATCCTATACGTGTTTTGATTGATTGTTTTAGTTAAATATCTGTTTAAAAGTGCATCAAATTTGATTTCAAATTTATACCACAGGTCATCGTTCATTTTATCAAAATCAAAACTAAATTTGATGAGTATCTTACGTCTGTTAAACTTGATATCCAAGAAGTTTGTAATTGTTGTAATGACAATGTAATGATCTGATATATCCATTCCAGTTGGGATTATATAGTAGTCTAAAATGTTAAAGGAGACATCTGTTGACATCTATATATAGTCGATCTTAAAAGAAACTTAGCTTGAATGGAAAGTGAGAAACTGTGTTCAGTTTTGATCATGTTTGATTGTAAAAGCATCAAAAACTGACATTCTATAGAAATCATTGAAAAATTTAAGAGAGTTTGTAGGATTATGTATTCAATCCATATCAGCATTAAAATCTCCTAAGATAATTATATAGAAATTATTGATAGAGGCATCTCTGATCCATTTGTTGAGGACTAATTGGATTTCGTGTCTCATCTTAAGGTTAGCAAGTGATAGATAACAATTAATAATATGAAGTTTCTGTTTATTTGCGAATTGTAAATCAACATGGATGACTTAATCAAGCTTAGTATCATATTTAAATACATGTGAAACTATCTTTTTATTAAGTACAGTCCCCGGCGAAAAGAATGGCGATGCAATCTTTTACTATATAATTAACTTTTTTTTAAAGGATTTGTATAAACAATTACATAGTATT